GAGAGGTCAGAATGATGTCAGTTTACAAATGTTTGAGGAAAATTTGCCACCACCACTCCCAGAGATTTAGCTGAATTTGATTGAGTATTAAAGGTGTCTTTGAATGTGACTTCTACAGGACTTCACCTGGATCAATGTTTCTGTGTGATTTATGATATGAACATAAATTTAGCTGATTCGTATTGTTACAGAGTTGCGGTCTGCTGGGAAACTGAGGCAATGCAGAGACTCCTCTTTAAGCCCAAATTCTTATGATCAGGTTAGAAAGATTTTAGACATGTTTCAAAGTTATAGGCATGAGTTTATTAGAAGGGATAGAAAAGGGGACAGGGGACACTCTGAAGATAGAGTGGATTCCCTCAGAGTGGAGAGGGATGGCACGCCTCTCCTGTCCTTCAGTTTTATTGGGATCCCAAGGAAGTTTCCAGAGAGTCCCAACCAGGTTCACCTCTTGACTTTTGACTGACAGTATGATGACATCAGATTTTGAAGTCCGCACTTCGATGTCAATGCTAGGTGACTTTGGCCCGTGTTGACCAGTTCTAATTGGAACCTGTTCTTATAGATTTTATGGTGAGAGGGAATTATTCTTATTTCCTTGAGTTCTGGGATCCGGTCTGTCTATGTCACAAAAGTCTCCCCTTTCAGGGTATCTTGTATTTTTATTGACATTTTGGGGCCTACACTTCTCCTGCAAGATAACAGTTTGTTTGTTGAGAAACGTAACGTATCCTGTTCTCCTGAGCCAGTCAAGACTGCCCGTAAATTGCTTTTTTAAAAGTGAAAGCATGTGGGGGTCAGCACAATGGACCTAGTTTATAGAATTTTTCCCTAAACCTCATGTGTCTGCCCCTTAATATGATAATATTTTGAGTATTATAATCTATAGTCATAAGTTTAAGAGGATTCCTTAGTAGTGTTTTAAATCTACTAATCTAAAAGCTATTTAAGCTTTTTTTTTCCCCCCCAAGAGTTTGAACTTGACCTATGTAAGGAAATATCTGACATTGTACAGGTGAAGAGAGATGATAGTTCCTTTCTGGTCATGCAGCATCAGAACTCTGGGCTCCAGGGAGGTACTGCTCTGAGTGAGGGAGCAGCTTCTACGCTAGCAGGCCCTGCATCCAGAATTAAGCAGGCCTAGCACTTTCTGTTGTACTGAAACCTATTAGGTATGTTTTAAAGTCATGTTTATTTTATTTTCCTGGCTCTGTGGTTTAGGGTTGTAAATGACTATGTTCAAAGCAAAGTATTCCACCCAGAATTCTCAAATTTATCATCTTATCATTTTGACTTACTAGAACACCAGGAGGTAATATAGTAACGATTAGATGAAATATTATATTTCTTTTTGACTTAATGTACTCCTTTTTTACTGTTTTGCAACAAATTGCCAGGAATTGGTAGTTAAACTACTAATTTAGTATCTCACAACCCAGTACCATGTGGTGGAGTTCTCTGTTGGCTGGGCTGAAGAGCTGTATACTCTTTTGGAGGTTTGGGGGAGAAATCTAGGTCATTCAGATTGTTGACAGAACTCAATTCTTAAGGGACTGAGATCCACTATTTGCTGGGAGGTCACTTTCAGCTTCCAGAGGTTGTTCTCAGGTCTTGTCCCACGGCTATCTTCAGAATTGGCAATAGAGAATTTTCTCTCACGTGGAGTCCCTCTCATACTTTATTCAAATCTCTCTGATTTCTGCCTTTGATCTCTGGACTCAGATTTAAAGAACTCATGTGACTAGGTTGGTCTACCTGGATGATCTCCCTTTCTTAAAGACAACCGAGCTATGTAACACAATCAAGGGACTAAGATCTACCACAATCACAGTCTTATATTTGGTACATCAGATGTGAGGTCTTGGGAGAATCTTAGAATTCTGTCTCAGTTTTTATCAATGTTCACAAAATATTGTGGATATGTTCTGAATAAAGGCCTATTAAGAAGGAAAGGGAAATATTGTATGTAGTCTCAGGTCTAAGAGAGAAATATTTTGAAGGTATCAATGTAGATTTCTATGGTAAAAAGTTAACATTATTCCACTGAGTATATTGAGTTAATAAATAAAATAGGGTGTTTTAGCCTGTTTTGCTTTAAATATGTCCTAGAAGAAGTGATGAATTCTTCTGTACTCAAATATTCTATTATATAAACCATAAATAATACTATTGCAGGATATATTAATCTTTGCTATAATTTTGATAGAAACTCAAGTGAGTTCTTGTTCTTCAAGATGTTGCTTCACCCACATGAACTACTTGATTGAGTTTTTCCACTTCTGGGGTTTTGTGAGTATTGTTCTACTATAAGACTAAAACAATAGTAAATACTGGAGTTCCTTATCAATGGAAATCAAGTGTAGTTCTGGAATGTACCAAGTATTAGAGAACTAAAGAATGGTTAGTGCAAGGCCTTAATATATATCTTGTGTCAGATATATTAGTAGTCAACTTTTCAACCTGAATTTTTCTAGAATTTAATTAAAAATTTTGGAAGAAACAATTATTACTTTTAATTTTGTATTTTTTAAAAAATAAATCACTACTGAGGAAACTTGGAAATAAAAAGGAGAAAAAAAGAAAAATATATGTCATTCCACAAAAATTTATTTAAAACACAGACTTTTGTGTTAGAGGAACCTAAACATGACTGTTAGCCAAATTCATCATCAGTCAGGCAAACAATTTAATCTCTCTAAAGCTTTGATTTTTTTTTCATTTTTGAAGCAAAAGTATGATAATGTTGACCTTGCATGATAGTGCATTTACTTAAAATATTTTAAAAACCTACGAAATTCCAGAACCCTACTAGGTTCTGGGGATATAGCTATGGATTTTTTAATATCTGAGGACACTCATATGTCTTGTGAATAAACTGCTTTCACAGAATTTATGGTCTGACAAAGAAAGAATTAGGATACATACAATAATATATGCAACGCTTATTTTATTGTCTAGTAGCAAATGCTACTTAAAACATATTAATTACTTTCTCTTTTCCTTTTCCCTGTCTGATCTTACTGCCATAGGAAATCTCATAACTATGATTCTCACAAATGAATCTGAGAAACATGTTGTTGCCAAAGAACTATTGTAGAAAATAGCAAGCAGCATGACAAATTAAATGTATCATTGAGGAAGTGAGATTGTGTAATGAACTCAGTTCCCATTCAATCCTGGTAGAACTGTGCCTTTCAGCAAAATGAGGTTGGTGATTTCATTCCAAAGATCAAGTTGCAGCAGTTTTCATCATGAATGTTAGCCAATCATTAAAAAAAAACAAAAAAAAAAAAAACAGTTGGCAACATTTACTTAACAGATGTCAAAATCTTTCTTGAAGGAAAGTTCTGTCAGCTGAAAAGCTAACGCTAGTGCTGCCAATGTCAAGGGGGAATATGGTGATGATAATGAATAAAAAGTATTTCAGTCATATTTTTTGTTTATAAAAGGTCTGCAGGCATGCACAGGTCTGTGTTTCCCTCCTCTTCCTTCACTCAGGAGTAATGTTAACTGGGTATGATTCAGATAAACTGCATAAGCTGGAAGCAACTAAAAAGACTGAGAAGCTGGGCTGAGGGGTATAGCTCAGTGGTAGAGCACTTGCCTAGCATGCATCAAGGCCCTGGGTTTTGTCTGCAGCACTATAAAAATTGTTGCTTCTAACATTAATGATAAAAGATCAGAGCACCTTTCATTGGGTCTGTAGATAGTTGTATGCTATTTTATATGGACTATCCCTAGCATTTTGTGAACTTAAAAACCAAAGATAAAGCCATCTGCATATTCATATCTTACCAGCAGAGTGGAATAGGATCAGAGAGGGAGGCTGATTATGTGGGGACCTTTGAGATAAAGTATCCCAGAGTTGTAACTTTTTCTGGACCTTGACTTTGGCTCAATCTTTGAACAACTCAATCTAGCCAATCCCAAATCTGTTGGATGGTTAAGATGCTCATCACTTCTCCTCTGGGTGTTATGAAGAAGTATGTTTAGGAAATATTTTAACTCAAAAAAATACAAAAAACAACCTCCATTCTCTCATATTTCTATTTAACAAGGCTTCAATATTCAGTGACAGAGCCACTTTAATTTCTGTTCATGAAGAAAACATCTAGAGAAGTGTGCATCACAAGTTTTTCATAGTAAAATGTAGGTTAATTGATATAAAATAGTGATTGATTTTGTCCCCAGTGATTCTGAGTAGCTTCTAACCAGCAGTTACCAGGTGCCCATATCTTCTTCTTTGTCCCCTCCACATTAACAGATTATGGACGGAGGGGGGGAAATCCCATTGTACATGTGGTGCAGAATGAGTTCGGGTCTTCTCAGATTAATTGAGTGAGGAGGTAAGGCACTCAGAGGAAAGCAGGGAACAAGTACAGTTTTATGAATAGGATTAGGTAACAAAACAAGGTCAAACTGTGCCATGGTTTGTTTTTCTCTCTCTAGTATTCCTCTTTAGTCAGTAGAATTGGCTCTTATCAGTTGCTGGTATTATGACTGGGCACATCCGTCCTGGGTCAAACATGCTGCAGTCTGCAAATCCAGCAGCAGATTGCAGTCCTCTGCAGTTCAGCCAGGCCAGCAGAACTTGTATAGTTGTGAGCACTGTGATAGCTAGAATTCCGAATTGAAGATATGCCCCTAATGGGGCCTTTGAGGGCAAAAGCAATGAAAGATTTTTCCTGTCTGAAGGCAGACTCCCTTTTCCTTCGTGTTTTAGGATCACAGACCTTTATTGGCAAGGTAAAGCCAAAGCTAGCCCTCATAACGTTACTAAATGTGGTTTTTTATGACATTCAATCTGTGAGCTAATTTAATTTTCTCCTGAAGTGTTCTATATAGGGATATCATCCTAGAGTTGTACTTGAAATGATTCTTTCAATATTTTTGTTTAGCTATCTGAAAATATTTAAGGGAACAGCGAATCAACTAAGAGCAACCCTGGGAAAATAATTGTTTTGCCGTTTTAACAGAAAACTCCCTTTGTGATTTTGCAGCCACGACAGCCCAATCCTGACTGGCGTTACTCTGCCTCCCTGAGAGCAGGCATGCACAGGTATGTATTTCCCTCCTTCCTTCACTCAGGAATATGTTAACTGGGTATGATTCAGATAAACTGCATAAGCCAGAAGCAACTGAAGAGACTGAGAAGCTCGGTGGGGGGTATAGCTCAGTGGTAGAGCACTTGGCTAGTATGAGTTCTGTCTGCAGCACTATAAAAATAAGACAAACAACAATGACAACAAAAACTATGAACCATTATAGATGCTCTGTCAAGAATGCAATCATTTTTTTATCCTGGTCTATTAGTTGAAACATTGGAAGCAATAGATGTTAAATGGTTCTCAAATTCTGGGAAATGAGAATCTTCTATAAAATCACACAGACAGATTTCTATGTACTTTCACCAAAATTTTCTACAAGGATGTGTCAATTAAAATTTTTTAAAATTTCTATAAGGAAGTAATTTTAACTTTCTTCATCCCTCTTACACTTTCTGTTCCTCACTTTAAAAAAATAGCTAATATTGATGCTTTCAGACTTCAGTATATTATGCAAGGTATATGCACATCTATCTTATTTTTCTATCTCACATTGACTATTATATCCTGTTAACCACAACAATTAATTGCTAGCTGGGTGTGGTGGTGCATGTCTGGAATCCCAATGGCTCAGAAGCCTGAGGATCATGAGTTCAAAGCCGGACTCAGCAACTTAGTGAGACCCTAAGTAATTTAGCAAGAAAAATGGGCAGGGGATGTGGCTCAGTGGTTAAGTGCCCCTGGGTTTAATCCTCAAAACAAAACAAAACAAATAATTGCTATTCTTGTTAATGTTCACGTCTGTTAGTATCTTCTCCATCTTATTGTCATCAATAGCATAAACTTTTCAGAGGATAAACCACGTGCAGGGCCTTTATTGAATATCTGGAGACCAAATCTAGCTTATTTTAAATTAACCTAGAGTAATAGCATTACTCTAAGACTCAGATTGAATATAATTTTGCTTTTTCTACTTAGTCTTTTTGACAGTAATTGATTAACTACCATTATTCCCAGAGCTGATCTAATATCATGCCATGGGGTCAAATAAAATATTCATTATTTGTGAGTGTCTTTGGAAACCAAATGGGGAGGACCAAGAAATTAATGATCACTATTACCCAAAGGATTTAATGTTAAAGAAGAAATAAAACTCCAAACGGAAGCCCCTCAAAATATCTGGGCAACTGTTAATTGAATCTTCACCAAACTTAGACCCATGTTTAAAGGATGGGCTTACAGAGTATATGTAGAGTTAATGAAAAATTTGTTCTAGTCTATTAAAAATACATTAGATTAAAATAAATTAACATCCTCTCAAGTATTATAATGAGCAAAAATCATTATTAATGGATACTATTTCTGAATCAGAAGCATTCAGAAAAGGCCTGAAAATTGTAGTTGACTTGGTAAGATGTCATATTGGAATCTGGGTTATAATTTGAGGCCAGAAACACTCATGCAGATGCCAGAACACTAAGTATCAGAAGGAATTCTTTATACCAAGAAAATCCAATTTATGCTTTTGTCTGTATCTGAGCTATTGGTGGAACCACACAATAGATCAAAACATGTTTAAAAACATGTTAAACTCTTGAAATTGAATTAGTGCTTTGCTTGAAAAGTACCAAAACTATGAGATGCACCTTTAAAACTACATTTAAAATGAAATATTAAAACATATTTTATCCTTGTTCCACTTTCAAATGAAAAAAAAGCCAAATATGCTCCTATTTATATTTCAATTGAGATATTATAAGATTTAAATAGAAAAAATGAAACAGTATAGTACATTGAACACATATTAGAGTTGTAAATTTAAATGATACTCATTTTTTTCAATACATGTGTTTGATCTCTTGGCCTTTCCAGCCTCAAATATTATGTAACTGCTCTTCTGAAAATTCTGCTTTGAGCAGAACTGGTTCCAGGATAGTTACAAATTTATGAATCTGATTGAGTACATATAATTGTTGGTAAGATCCCCAAACATCTGAAGATTAACTTACAAACTTATTAAAAAATTATAATCTAGAGATAGCAATAGATAAAGTACAATTAAATTTTCCAATTAATTATTTAGGAGTTCTATTATCCT